CTGATTATCGCGTATGGCACTAGTACAAGCATGTGTGCGTCGTCACAATACGAAATTGCCGCCTACAGGCCCAAATGCGACGCGATTTATCGGTCCCGGACATCAAAAAATCACTAATCGACGAATAAAAGCGTGTTCCGCCCCGAATCTTCGCAAGGTCGTTACATATATCGACGCAGCTCATTACCAGCAACATGAAGGTGGTCCCCGATGAAAAACGCTGTTTTCGGTTTTCCGCTTTTTGCTCGAGATATTGTATACCCCGGCTCTCGGCCCGCTCTGCATCTAGAAAGTACTTTTCACGGCGCATCTTTTTGGTCTCGACATCCGATCGCGTGAATCGGGCTAATTTTGACGCTACGACGCCATTTTGACGTCATGTATTTCTGCAAAGTTTCAAAGCTTAGCCAAATGAAGGTTAGGGCGCTCTCGTGCAGGGTCGTTCTTGCTCTAGGAAGTACTTTTCACGGCGCATCTTTTTGGTCTTGACACCCGATCGCTCAAATCGGACTCCTTCAGGCCCAAAATGACATATATAGGTTCTGAAAGGTCCGAAAACGGTATTTTGCCCATAACTCCTCCAAAAGTTAATATTTTCCAACTTCTGATAGCATTTTTGGATTCCCCGTGAAATTTTACATCTAGATGCATGACGATCTCGCATCCACGAGCAACTTGGTTTGGCGAACTAGACATCGGCCAACAAAGTGGCGACTCGATAATACGACGTAACTAGTCGACCATCCAGAAAGTGACTCCGCGAAGGCTTGAAACATGAAAAGATGCGCCTTAAAAAGTTATGCAGCCTGTGCAGTCGTGGCGCGCTCAAAGCTTTCTGGTTGCCGAGATACGAGCATTTCCGTTTTGGGCCATTTAGGGCCAACCCGCTCGACAAACCTTCGATATCTGATGAACGATAAGGTTTCAGAGTCCGGGAACTAGTCAGTTGACTTCCCCTCGTCAATACAAGAATCGAGTGAAAAAAAAATTTTCCGTCGAGGAGTATCGAATTTCACCAAGTGCCCGCCCATACTGAAGCCAAGTCTAATCTGCGGGCGAGAATTCTTGGTGAATTTTTCCATCACTGTTTTACCTCGTACTTTGTGCCTGTAGCGTGTTTTGTAGTGTTTCTACCATTTGGGAACGTGTAGCTTTGTGCCTACCTTTATGGAGACCAAAGTGAAAATTCAAGTTGGTCAACTAAATGAAAAGACGATCCTGATAGGCGTAAAAAATTTTTTTTTTTTGCGTCTATAATTTCTTAGTCCTAGTAGGTGCTTGTGGCTCTGCCGCCGGCGCTGGACGGGTTAAGGAATAAAAATATGCCTGGGTTTCGGTAATCCAGGTAGAAAAGGGAACGATTTGTGATGTACTTTTACGCTTCGGTGTGACTGTTTAATTCATGATGAATTCGTGCTGCTCTGGTGTTTCTTGCGCGGTATCTCGGTACTGTTGCGGCTATATTCATCAGCACAAGGAAGGTTGGCATTGTAAACTGCCCGGGAGTTGCGCTAGCTTGCTGGTGTAATTTCTCGGGTGAGTTTCGCATTGCTAGCCTGGCAAAACAATTTCAGTAAAACGAATTTGTTGGCATCTCGGTTAGGCTGCAGTTGAAAGGCTGTAGCTCGAACCTTGATGCGAATTGGAAATCATTCTCGGGAAAATCAAAGCGGCTCCTCTCGGGGAGCTGCGGCGAAAAATCAAAACGTGCATGAACTAGAAACAGTAGAAAGGACGGGTTGGGCTTCCATTACCTCTTGGGAATTCCTCGCTGCGGAAAGGTTTTGAATTGCTTGCAAATCGAAATTGGACGGAGGCTTGGATGAACCGAGTAAACTTGGAGGAACTGAGTATAGTGCCCCGGGTTTCAAAGAAGTTTTGGGTAGCTTGTGTGCTTGCATGCTTGTTGCCTAGGACCTATTCCCACGAGGGGGGAGAATCGCGTACCCTTTTTACTAGCGTTCGGAAGTAATTCTTTAGGCTGTGGAAAAATTTTGGGCTTGCTTAAATTATAAGTACGGCCGACGGAAGGTCATACCGTTGTGGCTAACATTAAAGCTATCTTTTGTAGCCGGAGGATGCTTTGAGTTTACTCGAGGCT